TAAATCTGACTTTCCTGGACCCTTAGGGACAGGGTCCTTGGACACCACAAGGTGTAATGTGAGTACACTGTGAGTATTGTCATGTTCACAGAAATCAGTTACTTAAAGTTGAGGAAAAATATTTTTAATTTACTGGTCCATACTGTATTCGCTAAAGTGTGGAATATCTTTTTCTATTGCATTGCATACTCCAGGCACATTGATAGTTGTTGTCACTCGTTGACATTTTAATAGACGTCTGGATACCAAAACATATTCGTATTAAATATAAACAGAATATTAAATTGTTCCTTTTTGAGTACGTTTTAAAAAGTGTATTGACAAGAAATATTGTTTTTCTAAAAGAAGATTGATATTCTAAGAATAAACGTAGTATAGATTTTCTTCTAATGTCTGTATGATAATAATGCTTTTGTTGTTTGGCTTACTAGCCTTTGAGTTGCGTATTAGACAGACGTTCACAAACACGTGACACAGGTTACGCTTTATCTCTGTTACAGTATACATCGAGTTTTTGAATAATAAAATAATAATAAAACACCTTTCAACACACCAAAAATTTATTACATAAAGTATTACAAAGTCAAGAAAAGAAAATACTAAAGATAAAACGACCAAAGAAAGCTGTTCTGAGAGTTTTTAGGCTCGTCTTAAAAGAACCCAGTGTCTCTCTGCCCCTAATTTATTTTGGGATAGTGCTCCAAAGCTCTGGGGCAGAGCAACAAAAGGCCCTGTCACCCATTGAATGTGATCCCGACGAGAGATAAAGAACACACTGAAACCACTAAAACCACTGCTTTCCAAAACACAACAAGCTAGAACCAGCCTTAAAGAAAGTTTCCAAATACACAGCCAGCCAGTAAGAAAATCTTAAAATTGTTCGCATAATGTTTATAAAATAATAACAAATTGGAAACTGACTTGACATAAGTATCTCTTCACATCACATCATCAGGAATATGTTGCGAATTTGCCATGTGCTATTAAAGTTTAGCTTTTATTTCAGCCCTCTTTATTTCAGTTCTGACATGCCAAACTAAGGGCAGCGTAGTAGAGGGGTGCTGCTGACTCAAAGCTCTTGGATCCTGGGCTCAATTCTGGCTTAGGGCTTCATCTACAGTACACATCTACGCCAAGTTTACATGATCTCCTAGCGGCCTCCTAGGTTTTCTCCATGTGCTCCAGTTTCTTCCCACAGTCCAAAGCCATGCTGTCTGGGTTTATTAGTGTCTCTAAACTGACCTCCACTTGTGTGTATGCCCTACAGTGGACTGAAGACTTATCTTGCACCTATTGCCTGTTTGGTTAGGCCATGGTGTGCTGTGTCTCTGTATTGGGCTACATGGTTATTGAAAATGGAAGGATCGATATTCCAAATTGTAGCCTTGCCCTTAAGAATCATTAACAAGGAGATACACACAAGGTCTTGGTCAAGTAACATTGATCTTTTCCGACAGTTTATAAACAAGTAACAATGTATTGAATAAATTCTACTGCCAGGAGGCAGACCTTTTAGTTTAGGAGTTCATCTCTGAGGAGTCTCAATGTGCTGTAGCCTGTGGCTGGGTAGTGCCTGAGAGAAGGTGTTCAAATCTCCAGTTTCTTTGGGGGCTGTGCTGATGTAGTCTACCTATGTACCTCTATGTATCTACAAACTAGGTGGCCATATTATCTAGATTGAACATCAGAGTGATGTCATTCCTGTCTAGGTCTTCTACATCTATGGTTGTAATATTACCAAATGAGACAGAACTGGGATTTACCCAAACACATCACTTTTTACTATATTCCAGTGAATGGGTTCCTCTCTTGTTGTTGTGTGATTTAAACAACAACACCATTTGTCTTTTATGCAGATGCACATTGTTTTTGCTGGCCTAAATTCACAATTTCACACTTTTTGTGAGAAAATCAAGAGTCAAGAACATTAC